TTTCAAGAGACCTATGTTCTTAGGTGTTCTCTGTGAATGTTATCAAATCTAAGCATTTGTGTGTATGTACAGTCTGGCACTAGAGACTGGGGCCTCAGTTCCTCATAGCACCCAGGTAAGGAAAGGTCTTGTCCAAGATCACTGTGCCATCAAGGGACTGGAATTCCAAATAGGCCTTCTTTTGTCTGAGATTGAGGAGAAACAAAAGAGCCTAGAGAAACAAGTGTGTGTGTGTGTGTGTGTGTGTGTGTGTGTGTGTGTGTATTTATATATACAATATATTTTTAAACAAACATACACTATTACTGAACACTTTTTCTTTCTTTGTTTTAAGTGTTTTTATTGATTTCAGAGAGGAAGAGAAAGAGAGAAAAATCAATGATGAGAGAGAATCATTGATTGGCTGCCTTCTGCAAGCCTCCTATTGGGGATTGATCCTGAAACCTGACTGGGATTGAACTATGACCTGCTGGTTCCTAGGTTGATACTTAGCCACTGAACCACATGGACTGACAAGTATTTTTTTAATCGTCTAATTTTCAGCAAAGTCATGTGTATTGTCAAGAGGACAATGGCCTTTTGAACTATTTGCTGCAAGAACTTCATTTATAAAGGCCCGAGTCAGAGTCATTTGCCACTGAGAAGTAACAACAACCTGATTGTCTCGTCAGGATTCAGATAGCGGTCTGTAGGTGTATTTTTAAATTATAGCCTTTCTCAGGCAATTAATCCCAGGCATTTAGCAGGAGTTGCTGCTGTGTTTCTCCCTTGTTCCAAAGACATATTTTTCTCGTGTTTGGTACTTGTCTTAGATGCTTGATTGTTTGAAGGGTGTTTTTTCTCTTATAAAATCTTTTACTAGGAAATCTTACATTTTCTCCCTCTCTTCCTCAAATACCTCTCAGAGAGTTAATCAAAGATGCATAGAGTTCAACAACTGGGAAAGCCATTAATAACTCTGTCAGCATCTATCCTGCTAGCTTAAAGGCAGTTTCTAGTTTCTGGCTGGTGAAATTGAGCAGGATTTCTCTGGTGTCTCCCTGCCAAGTGTTTTGGTGGGAAAGTCTTCTTGTGTTGGAGGAAAAGCACCAGCACATCTGCACATGCTGGTCTTCACCTTTATTTTGTTTGTTTTTGTTAATCCTCACCAGAGGATATTTTTCCCATTGCTTTTTCAAAGAGAGTGGAAGGGAGGGTGGAATGGGAGAGAGAGAGAAAACACAAAACAAAAAACATCCATGTGAGAAACATATTGACTGCTTGCCTCCTGTACATACCTAAACTGGGGGTGGGAACTCACAATCCAGGTACATGCCTTTGACTGGAATCAAACCTGGGACCCTTCAGTGGATGGGCCAGTGCTCTTGGTCTTTACCATTGTTGTTTCTTTTATTTAAGCTCTCCTTGAAAAGGGCATGAACTATGTTAGGCCCCAGTATTTAGCCCTCTCCTCTGTTTCTAAGATAAACCCTCTCTGAATCTTCCTTTTTTCCACTGTTCATCCACTGTTCATCTATAAAACATCTTCCAATTCACTCATACTGTCTCTATCTGACAGGTTTTTCCTCCTTCATCTCGTGGAGCCATGCTTCATGTTGATCTTGTATTAGCACTGAAGTGAGTGGCAGAATCTATAGTTTTCTAAAAACAACGTTATTTTAAATGCTTTTAATTCCTTTGCTTTTTTCCTGGAACTTTTACCAATCTTCCTGTCCCCTCCTTCTAAGCCACCCCTCTTCCACCCTCCACAAATATCCTATGTGTTAAAATTAGTTTTCTCATCCAATAATAACTATTATTTCTGAATCCTCCCTTCTTTTTAGACTATAAAACCTTTGACACCTTACCTATTTCTGTTTTTAAGATTTTTCTGGTCAGTAAATGCTTGAGCTGTTTTTGTTATGGGCTGTTTTCTCCTGGATGTCTTTGTTTGTTGCCCATGGGCGGCATCATCACATTTGTATGTTTACTGCGTTTCACCTTTTCCTAATCTGGGTTCTGTTCTGCCATTTCTCCTTTGCTAGGGTTCTGAGCACTGTCAATTTGAAATCATTCTTTTAAAAAATATATATTATTGATTTTTTTACAGAGAGGAAAGGAGAGGGATAGAGAGTTAGAAACATCGATGAGAGAGAGACATTGATTAGCTGCCTCCTGCACACCCCCTACTGGGGATGTGCCCACAACCAAGGTACATGCCCTTGACTGGAATTGAACCTGGGACCCTTCAGTCCACAGGCTGATGGTTTATCCACTGAGCCAAACTGGTCAGGGGTGAAGTCATTCTTATATTTTATTGAGATGCTACTTAGTTCCTCCTTCTCCATCATTAGTTAAGATGTTAAGCTGAGGACCAGCAAATACATCTCCACTTTCTTAGTATATTACAACTTTTAAAATTATTTTATTGATTTGAGAGAGAGAGAGAGATTGGTTTGTTGTTCCATTTATTCACTTATTTATGCATTTATTGGTTTATCTTATGTGTGCCCTGACTGGGGATCGAACCTGCAACCTTGGCATATCAAGGTAATGCTCTAAGAAACTGAGCTACCCAGTGTAGTGATGCCTAATGTAACCATCAGATTCAAATGTTGCTTGTATCTGAGCTGCTGATCTCATTCATATATATATCCATATCCTATATAATAAAAGCCTAGGTAGTGTCACGAGATGTCACAAGATGGCCATCCCATGTCATCACAAGATGGCTGGCAGGGGAGGACAGTTGTGGGTGATCAGGCCGACAGGGGAAGGCAGTTGTGGGTAATCAGGCTGGCAGGAGAGGGCAGTTGGGGGCGACTAGGCCTTCAGGGGAGGGCAGTTGGGTATGACCAGGTGGGCAGGGGAGGGCAGTTGGGAGGGATCAGACCTGCAAGGGAGCAGTTAGATATCAATCAGGCCAGCAGGGGAGTGGTTAGGGGGCAATCAGGCTGGCAGGTAGAAGCAGTTAGGGGCAGGCAGGCAGGCAGGCGAGCCATTAGGAGCTAACACTATACACACATTTTTGAATAATTATAAAGGCAGTGTTTATTAAAGTACATTTCATTTCAAAATTGAGCTATCATGTATATATGTATGTATTAATTTTCATATATATATATAGTCTCTCTTCTGCCTCTTCTTTGATCTTTAGAATTTTTAAATCAAGGGAATGTATGTTAGGGAAAACAATAGTATGCTTTTTCTTTTGGGAAAATAAAAACCAAGTATTGACTTTTAATGGTTCAGCTTCCAATATTGATTTGTCTTTAAATGTTCAACATCCAGTTTCACTAAGATATGAAAACCTTCTTTAGGCTTTTGTTGCTGGCTTGTAAAGCTCCCAGTGGTTCATAAACCAAAGTGTTGTCTTAATTTTGGTTCTGGGGCCACTTTGAAGATTTATCTTATTAAGTTGAAGATAATCTAAAGGTAGAATTAGGAAATATCCCAAATCAGTATCTCAGAGGTTCATTTATTTTGTGGAATTTGGTTAACCAGCTAATTAACTGCTCTGGCCAGCCTGTGCCCTTTGGCTTGTTCCTTTGATGCTTTGGAAACTAAGCCACGTGAAGTCTCTGCCTTCTCTTTTCTTGTAGGAAGCAGTGTAGTGCAATGAGCAAGGACTTTAGAGTTAGATCTTCCTTGAATCCTGCCTCAGCCACTTACTAGTTGTGTGACTTTGGCACTTACCTCTATATTTTATTGATTTTTTACAGAGAGGAAGAGAGGGATAGAGAGTTAGAAACATCGATGAGAGAGAATCATTGATCAGCTGCCTCTTGCACACCCCCTACTGGAGATGTGCCCACAACCAAGGTACATGCCCTTGACTGGAATCGAACCTGAGACCTTTCAGTCTGCAGGCCAACGCTCTATCCACTGAGCCAAACCGGTTTTGGCGGGTCCTTAGTTTCTTTATTTGTAAAATAGAGCTAATAATATCTCATGGAATAGCTAAAAGTATTAAATGGGATAACATATTAATAGCATTTGTATTAGAATTTAGTAGCTATTTCATAAATGGTGGTTATTACAGACTCTAAAGAAAACACCTAGACTTTTTTTTTTTTACTCAACTGACCTATTTGTATTGTCAAATAATTCATTGTCATTGTCCATTTTTCTGTCTCTAAAAGAAAAGACTACTTAGTGTCTTTCACTTATTAGTGATTTTTCCACACCAAGGACCTAAACAGATTCATTGAAAGATAACTATTTTTTGGATGAAATCAGTGAGGGAAGTTTTTTTCCTTTAAGATCCCCAAAAGCCAAAATTTCTCTATCTTTCAACTTAAAAAAATATCCATTCCAGATCCTTTAGAAGATCTAAGCCTGGCTTCAGTTTCAGAAGCAGCAGAGACCTTATTAATTAAAGAAAAACCCTTTATGAACCGCATCCAGCACAGCCAGGGGTGAACCTGAGGAGGGACAGTGAACGATTAAAGAAAAACAGATAAGAGAATATAGTTGGGGCTATTTTGGATCACTGTGCCTGGATGAGGAAACAGTGACACAGATTGTAAGCCAAAGCTTTATTTTATAGTCAGGTCACACAAAGCAAAACAAGGGGAGTGGTCAACATGTTGAAAGAGTTTCAAATCTATTTCGTTACTCAAGCCTTGTTTTGGCAGCACTTCCTGCACTCCCATAGCCCATTAGCTACCTAGGCACAAGGGAGGACTGTAAGGTCAAACTTAATTGTACTAGGAGGGCTCTGTCCTCTAAGCTGGGACTTGTATGTGGCTCTGCCACAGGTCAGTCTGGGACTTGACCTTATAGCTGCTCCCTACAGTCTTGGTTACTGAAATAAATGCTCCTGGATCATTTAGTTGAGGTATTCCAGAAATAGAGTATATGAATGTGCCACCCAAATTAGTAAGCAAACAAATCACTGATTTCTCTGGGGTCTTCCCCTTGGTGTAGGAATTTAGTTGGAGGGATTCTCATTTTTGTTGGGCTGGTGGCTGATTCTGCTTTAGTGACTCTCTTACGTGCAGTTTTTTTGTTTCCTCCAGGGACAATGGTGACAGATCCAGGCACCGAGCTCCACGCAACGCCCGGATGTCTGCACCTTCACTGGGACGCTTTGTACCAAGGTAAGAACTAGATAGTTAGCTTTTATGAGAGACATTTATGAAGGAGCCTTTATGAACACCTGGGATTTAGTTTTTAAACCTACTTTTTGGTCTTTGGACTGTTCATATCTGGAATTATTTTCTAGTGAGCCTATTTTCCAGCCCTGCTACCTAAAGACTTGACAAGAGATGATTTGCCACAGTAAAAAGAGAGAGAATAGTGGTATTGAGAGCATCCTATTCAAGAATAAAAGCCCTGGGGAACTTTAGAAGAAATATCAAGGAGGAGGTACAATTCCGTGAATGTACAAATCTTAGGAATTTTTACTCCACTCTGGGCTTCTGTGGATTCCTAGGTCTAGTGGATTCGTTAGCATTGATTCATAATATATCTCCCTTGTTTTATGGTGGTCTTTATTAGGCTTTTCACATGTGATTCCTTCTTGTAGGCGTTTCTTGCTGCCTGAGTACTTGCCTTATGCTGGAATTTTTCATGAACGTGGACAGCCTGGCTTGGCTACTCACTCTTCTGTTAACAGGGTCCTGGCAGGTAAGGAAATGTTTCTTTGGATTATGAAAATTTGAAGGGGCAGGGAGCCAGGTAAAGCTTTCCCCTCCTTATATTGATTTGACAGCATCTTGCCACCTGGACAAAAACTGAGCTGAACTCAGTTCCTTACTTCAAAGCAAGAAACTGCAAGATTAAAGAAAGCTGTTTCTCTTGCATATTCCTACTTCCTTCAAACATTTTCAAATCCCGCCCTCTTCCCACCCTTCACTCCCATTGAAACCATTTTTCCCCCTTAATCTAGCAATTAGATTCTGGCTATTGAATGATAGAGTGTCTGTTGAAGTTCCATTTGGTGAGATACCCCTGAGCCAGATCCTGTGATTTAATTAGGGACTTAATGCATACCTCTCCTACCCTTTGCAGCACATGGTGTTTCCAGGCACTGTGGAATCTTCTAAGAAAGGAGGAGAGGCGCTTAGAGCTGGCTCAGAAATCTCCACAGAACAGAAATGGGCTGGATAAGCCCAATTGAGGCATTTTTATGTAGCTGGAGAGCTTAGTGACATGGACTAAGATTCACGACGCAACTGAGCTCTGAGACATAGTGTGTGCTGCTGCTTCTGGGCAGTCTGAAGAAGGAAATAATCCAGAAATCTCCCCCCCCATAAAGGTTATTTCTTCATTACACTCTTTTCCTCCCTTCCTACCACTTCTATTGCCGACTTGTAAATTTATGTATGTGAAGGCATAAAAAGTATAAAAATCAAGTCATGCCCTGACCAGTGTGGTTCAGTTGGTTGAGTGTCATCCCATTTTTCACTATCCCTTCTCTCTCTAAAATCAATGAAGTATTTTTTAAAATCAGGGCATTTAAATATATCTTTAATTTTTAAAGTGTATCTTTCATAAGCAATACTTATGTTTTAGAAAATCTGGGCCACCTATTGGATAAAGGTAGGGCTCTGTATGTGAGCCAGTGGCACTGTCAGGTGGGAGAATATGACTTCTTTTATTTTAATTTCAGAGAGCAAGGAAGAGGGAGAAAGAGAATCATTGATGAGAGAGAATCATTGATTGGCTGCCACCTGCACCCCGCACATTGGGGATTGAGCCCGCCACCCAGGCATGTGTCCTGATTGGGAATCGAACCATGACCTCCTGGTTCATAGATCAGTGCTAGACCACTGAGCCATGCTGGTTGGGTTTCACTGATTTTTAGAGAGAGGGAAAGACAGAGAGAAATATCGATGTGAGAGAAACACATCAATTGGTTGCCTCCTGCACGATCTCTGACCAGGACCCAGGCTGGGAAGGAGTCTACAACTGAAGTACATGCCCTTGACCAGACCCTGGGACTCTTCATTTTGCAGGCTGACTCTCTTATCCACTGAGCCAGACCAACTAGGGTGAGAATGTGATTTCTAATGAAGCTGCTACGACAGCTGGAAGGCATGAGATCTGGCCTCCCCTGAACAGTATCCTTGACCCAATGTCAAGGTCTAGAATTCCCAGAAACATTCGTGCTTTCTCTGTTGGAGATCAGGACTTCTTGGGCCCAGGCTTGGCTGGGAGCATACTACACCACGGTCTCCTGACCTGAGGAAGTTTCTGGCCTGAGTTGGTAAACAGATCCCGTGGCTCTGATTCTCCTTGCTTGTCACTTTGGGTGGGGACATGTAGAAGCTCTTCGCTGGCATATAATCACTTGCTGCCAGACAGTACTATGGAGCTCTTCTCCACCCTTCTTTGTTCCAGACATCTGCCTCTACCACCCCACACAGCACCTCCTGCTCCTCTACTGCTGGAGAAATCTCTGTTTCTTGGCATTTAGTTTTTTTGGAACAGCTGTATGTTATTTTTTTCTCTTTTGACTTAATAACTCTACCTTCATTTTCTGTTCCCTACTTTATGCCCAGAGGTCTGACTCTTAAGTGACCCAATTCCACTTATGGATACATTTGAATATTGGGGTTGTGTTCCAGCAGCCAGTTGTTTCTACTAAGAAAAGTTCTCTAACAAAGTTAGAAAGGGGGAGGGAAGTCTAGGTTTTTTTAAAGAATGTTATTCTTGAGTTAAATTAGCATAAGGTTTCCATTCATAATTAGACTAGCTTCTCCCATCTTCTCAAGTACATGTTACATAGTGCCCATTGCTCTTTCCTTAAAAGCCTTCATTATTTATAGCCTAGATGCCCAGTGCACAAAATTCATTCACTCAGTGGGGGTGGGGGAGTCCCTCAGCCCGGTCTGTGCCCTCTCGTAGTCCAGGACCCCTTGGGGGATGTCCCCCTGCCGGCTTAGGATGTCCACCTGCTGTTCCCCAGGTGATCAGGCCTAAGCTGGCAGTCAGACATCCCTCTGGCACCTCAGGAGCCCTTGGGAGTGGGAGAGGCTCCCTCCACTGCCACTATGCTCGCAGCCATCAGCCCAGATTCTGGCTGACTGGCACTCCTCCTGTGGAAGTGCACTGACCACCAGTGGGCAGCTCCTACATTGAGTGTCTGCCCCCTGATGGTCAGTGCACATTATAGTGACTGGTTGTTCCATCATTAGGATCATTTTGCATATTACCCTTTTATTGTATAGGACTAAAGGCTCAGTACACGAAATCGTACACTGGGAAGTGGGGTCCCTCAGCCCAGCCTGTGCCCTCTCACAGTCCAGGAGCTCTCAGGGGTGCGGGGAGTGGGCCTGAGTCAGACATCCTTAGTGCTGTCTCAGAGGATGGAGAGACTCCTGCCACCGCTGTTGTGCTTGCCAGCTGTGGGCCTGGCTTCTGTCACACTGACCACCAGGGAGCAGCTCCTGCGCTGAGCATCTGGTGGTCAGTGCTCATCATAGCGACCTGTCGTTCGGTCGATGTGCATATTAGCCATTTATTATATAGGATATTTGGATGTCTCTCCAGTTTCTATTGACAGTTGTCTTACCTTGTATTTCTATTGAGTAAAGTCCAATAATAACAACAACAGCAACCAAAGAAAGCCTAACATTGAGTGCTTGCTATATATGAAACTGTAGGGAGTGGTTTAAGTGCTTTTTTCCCAGGAATTTCATCTCTCTCATAGTAATCAATCTTATCTGTTATGTAACAGTAAAGGATACTAAAGCCTAGAAGGTCAACTTGCCCAAAGTAATGCAGCTGGTAGGGGAGCCAGAACTGAACCAGGCAGTGAGATTCCAGAGCTTCCTAATCTGCCTCCCCATAGTTACTTTAAAGGACAAAGCTTCAAAATAGCATTCTTTTTCCAGGATCTTACTCTGGAACAGAAAAAACACCCTCAGGGAACTTGCTGATCTTCAGGATTTTTCTTACTCATTTTAGTTCCTCTATAGGTATACATACCTTGTAAATATTGTGGTTTTGATTTCAGATAACCGTAATAAAGTGAGTTTTAATCTCTTTGTTGGTAGAGGGTTATGCCTTCAATTTACTTTTTTCTAAAAAGGGGGCAACATCTATGAAACATAATAAAGTGAACTAAGCAAAATAAAATGAAGTATGCCTGGATTTTAAGTGGCTTTTATTTTTATTTATTTATTTATTTTTTAATATATTTTATTGATTTTGTACAGAGAGGAAGGGAGAGAGATAGAGAGTTAGAAACATCGATGAGAGAGAGTCATTGATCAGCTGCCTCTTGCACACCCCCTACTGGGGATATGCCCACAACCAAGGTACATGCCCTTGACCGGAATCAGACCCGGGACCCTTCAGTCCCCAAGCCGACGCTTTATCCATTGAGCCAAACTGGTCTCGGCTAAAGTGGCTTTTAGACATAACTTTCTATGAATATAGTGGTGCTTGCTGAGGAAAATCTTATTATGTAACAGCCCTTTCCTCGAGCCTTTGTGCCCTCCTAGACACAGATGTTTTATGTTTTATTAAACTTGTGATCTTGTAATATCACTGATATAATAATGGCTTTTGAAGCGAAAGACAAATTGGCCTTTTAGCAGTAAGCACTCTCAATTTTCCTGGTAAGGTATTTCCTCTTGTATGATTGGAATGAGGTTGTGATGGTCTCATAACAATTACATTCAGCAGATATTTGTTTTGCACCAATGTGCCAGGTACTATTCTAGGCTACCAGAGTGAATATGACCCCTGCCCTCCTGTAGCTCAAAGTCTAGGCTGTTGGCTATGCCTCAGTCTTGCTGTTTGCTTCTTAGCTCCAAACATAAAGCAAAAGTTTGTGTGGTGAGTGGCTTTTTGCAAGGGCAACAAATGGAAATTTGACAGACCTGAAGGACAAAAGCATATAAATACCTGTAATTTTAGAAGGCATGACCAGTATTATGGTGGCAAATGAGTCTCCAGTGGACTCTAGCCAAAGCCATTCAAAATCATCAACAAAAGTGGATTTGTAAAAAATTAAGATCCATTCTTCCCACTTCCTCCTATAAGAGCCTACTTCAGAGAAGTGTTTTGATAGTCTGTGAATGTTCATCTCTTCTACCTATCTTTTTTTTTTTTTTAATATATTTTTTATTGATTTTTTACAGAGAGGAAGAGAGAGGGATAGAGAGTTAGAAACATCGATGAGAGAGAATCATCGATCAACCGCCTCTTGCACACCCCCTACTGGGGATGTCCCCACAACCAAGGTACATGCCCTTGACTGGAATCAAACCCGGGACCTTTCAGACCACAGGCTGATGCTCTATCCGTTAAGCCAAACCGGTTTCGGCTCTTCTACCTATCTTGATCCATTCCTCACAATTCTGTAGTTCCTGGGGGCCTCCAGTACCCATCAAACCACCTTATGCCCCTTCTTCAGAATGTAAATTCTGAACCTGTACTTAAAGAGGTATAAATACATTTAAAGCTACTGCATCTCTACCAGGTATATTTTTTGGGGGAACACACTAAAATCTTAAGAGCTCCCTCGGCTGACATTTTAGCAGACAACTCTAGCTCTGTCATAACAGCAACTGATAATAAAGAAGGAGGTAAGATTAATGAGTGCCTACTATGAGCCAAGTACTGTTCTAAGTGCTTTCCTATTCATTATCTCCTTTAATCATTATAACAGCCCT